GTTTGGCTGAACTACAAGAACGCGTACGAGTATTGGACGGAACAGCGCTCTAACCTGAACTCGGAAGTGGTTTTGGCCACTCAGCAGGTGTTCGGCAAAGTGCAACCCATCGCTCAAATGGGCTCTCAGACCATCGGCACACTCTTCCTGCAGCTGACGGTCGACGACTTGGGCGCCTGTCTTCCCATCACAAACCCCACCATTTCGGCACTCAATCAGAGCAAAGGTTTCGAGTCGGAGCTGAAGGACGCACTGGTGGTCACTTTGGAAAACACTCAGATCAGCGCCTGTTCTTGCGGTTCACTCGTTAGTAAAGCCCAGTTCACGGGTCTCTGCATTCGGTTCGCCGACGACTTCGAGACATCGCTGGACGACTGGAAGCCCGACAGCACTGACCCGACCATCAGAAACCTATGCGTGGTATCGGAGGGCACGTACGAGATCTGTTCGCGAACCATAACCTCACACCAGAGCCCGAGTGACGCCAAGTGGCTGTTGAATGTCTCGTGGAAAATGGAGGGCTTCGACATCCACTTCGACACATCCATTGGCAAACACTTCTCCGCACTCTTCAAGACAATGACTGCGATCGCCGGCGACGAAGACGAGGACGAAGCGGACATTTCGACCACCGATTACGGCAACGCGACGGTCGACGAGCGGCCCGAAGAGGAACACGTGAACGACGCGCAGGACGTGGAGAGTGAGGCCAACGATCGAGTGGTGCGAAGAGATTCACTGTTGCGGGACGTGTCGGCCGACAACAAGAAGAAGTCGCGTATCATCGAGAAGGAGCTCAACGAACAGGTGAAGATCATCAGCGATTTGCGCGAATTGGGCGCCAGTCATACCACTATCGAACAGGAGGTCCAACGCCTCCACGAACTCGAAGCCGCCATTTTCCAGAACTTCCGCCGCGATGTCATCAAAAAGCTTCGGCGACCTTCTGTTAGGCAGTCGTCCTTTAAGGACAAGCTATCGGTCGGCGGAAAAATGTTTAGCAAATCACTTCATTCCTATACCGAAGGCAACGAGTTTACCGAGAATTCGGGCGAAGAATCACCGCTCGATCAGTTCAAACCGGGATCTTTTGATACGGCGATCGAAACGATTCCCAGACTTAAGTAATTATTTCACTCAATATTATATTTTGTGAAATTTGATTGAATTTTTATGTGGTTTTTGTAGGACTTCAGCCAGTATTCCGATCCCGAGATCCGACAAACAAGTGGTTCTGGACTCACCGATCAGTCAAACCGCTGCCTCAATGACCAGCTCTTCGGTGAGCGAATCACAGAGCAGTTGCGAGAGCGCACTGTCGCCCACATTCAGTTTGGAACAGTCTTCCAGTTCCACGTCTGACTTCAAGATACCAAAGATTACCAAAACGTGAGCTCTGTTTTTATTTTGCGCTATATTTTACTGTAAAATATTTATTGTTTTGTTTGTTTCAACAGTACTACAGATCCGCGTAAACAAAGCAGTCTATCGTCCGAATACGACGAAAGCATCGGTTCATCGATCGGCGACCGGTCCAGCGGTTTGGCCGCCAAACAGACCTATCAAACGGAACCCAACATTGATTTTGAGTTGGATGTGAAGATTTTCTTCAATTCCGGAAAATGTGTTTTGCATACAAAAGATCAGTCCATTAGAGATGAGGACAATTCGGTCAAAAAGCCGATGCAAAAGGAGCGCAGCTTTTCTGGCGGTCCATACGATTCACTGCTGTCTCCGAATCACATAAACAAATGCCGTTCCGGTAATCGACTGACGAAAACCACATCTAATAACACATTGAAGCCCAACCTGTCGTCCTCTCGACTCAAACATCCGACACATTTAAGTGGACAAATCGCTGACTTCACGGTATTCCTGATCCCCGGACTCGACATTAAACTTCATTATAACTCTAAGACATCGCTCGAAGAGAGCGCTCCGTTGGCTGAAAGGCAGCCGACGGCGAGACAACAGTCCGACAGCGGAGACACTACTGGTCAGCAGCAAAACGGACAGCAATTGCTATCAAACAAGCGGTTGGCCTCGAAGAAGGCCACACTCTTCGCGTGGATAACACTACACAGCATTCCCGACGAAACGCTAATCAGTCCAAACATATTGGATTTCTTAGAGCAGGCGCTCGAACCCATTCCCATAACAGTGCCGCCGAAGACTCCGACCTCCGCGTCGGCGCCCAATGTGTTCAGCGGTGGGGACGAGAGTGAGGAGCCGCCTGTGCCCGCACAGTACGCCACTTACGCTTCGTTTCCCGTTGACGTTATCGTCTACTTTCACGTCCAGCCAACTGTTGTCCGCTTTTGTTGCCTTCCGGTCTCACGCGTTGAATGTTTGCTTCACTTGCCGTCAATTGATTTGGTCTTTTCGTCGAAACGCTCGTCAAACGAAGAGTTACCGTCGGGTCAGTGCTCTCCACCCAAGTATTCCCGTTATGGACACAAGACGTCAACTGAATCCAATCCAACCGCGTCGACGACTAATACATCAATGGGTGGTCTGAGTGTCACCGGATGTTTGGCCGACTTCTCGCTCTATATCTTCCATCCATACGGCGGACAGAAGAAGACGGCGGCCAAAGAGATGGCCGGCGAGTCGATGGCCTATTCGGACCGCAAGGACTCGCTCAGTCTTCAGGTAGAGTTTGTCAAAATCAATATCTCTCGCTCTCGAAAGCTGTCGATCGGCGACTCAATCGCCCAGAGTTTCCGTTTCTCTGCCACCTGTGATATCGGAAGCGCTTCATTCAAGTACGACATGCGGCGACTCAACGAGATTCTGGCCTTTCCTAAGGCCTGGTATCGCAAATCCATTTGGAAGCGTATGTTTATCGGCGATCACACCATAAACGCCTTCTTCAGCGATCAGGAAGAAGAGGACGACTCACTCACTGACAGCAAAGACCTGTCGGACAGCAGTTCCGAAGAGTCGAACCAAACGGCGACCACTGTTCGCACGTTTCACAAGACAGACGCGTCTAACGCCAGTCGCGATCGATTGCGGCTCAATTTGGACGAACCGGCGTCGAGTCGACGGCAAGTGTATCGACACACGAGTCGCAGCGATTCCCGACCACTACTCGCGGCCAACAATCCGTGGGAAACACTCGTATTGTTTTCGGTAAACCTCTCCAAACTGAACATAACTATGAATATGGGAAACGTTATGGGAAACACAAGTTGGCTGACCCGTGGCCTACGCTCTGACGGCCGCATATCCATCGACTCAAGCGGTCGCAAGAGCTATAAGATTGGTCTCGCGCTCGACGGCTCAACACTGGACGCAAAGGGCGGTATTGTTGGCGGGATTATAGAGTTGAGTCAAATCAATACCGAGATGTCGGTGAAAGAGGTGAAGGGCAACGAACCCCAGCATCAGTTCATCTGTTCTCTGCACACTCTGGAGAAGCGAATTGATTACATGGGAACCAGTATTTTGATGCTCAGGGTATCGGATCTGGACATTACTTTACGCGACGAATGGCGCATAGATTTGAGTAAAAATTATCAGTCATCGCATCCGACTAAACGGCCGGCACTTATCTTCATTCACGGAGTACTCAATTGGGATCAAATGCAGATCTTAATGTCCAAATCCACGACACCTGACATCATGAAGATTATCGCCAAACTGGAGGAGTTCTTCACACAACAGTTCCATTCGAGTAAACGTGTCTTTTCGTCGCTCCAGACATATAACCGGCAGTCGTTTAAAGGCAAGAGTCAGGCGTCGAAACGAACGCAAAGTGTGAGCAGTGGTTCACCGCAACTGACTGTCAGCGGTTCTCAACAGACGCAACAGTCGGCCGAAAACGTGTCCATCACTACCGAAGCGCGTCATCACAGGCACTGGCAGAGAGCCCTACGGCTTGTGTCGGGCGTCCACTTGTCAACCCTCCCGAACCCATTGCCAATTCACGGCACAATACTCGGCGGCACTCTTGAACTCCGGGCGCAGAACATATCGCTCGCCTGTTTCTATGGCATCAACTTTCGGTCCAAGAGTTGGGGCGCATTCAGTCTCAAACACACGTCCATTTCGTTTGCCACCGAAGCCCAAAACATTGTCAACGATTCCGGCGCTTTGGACACACATGTGGTGCAGAACCTGTCCTTCCTATTGGGCCGCAACTCAAGCGAACAACAGTCGCGCAAAACAATGGCCACCGTATGCAAGATCTCGAGGAATGTGATGTTTCCGCCGCAGTTTCGTCACATGCATGAGTGGTTTCACTACGCGTTCAGCGCCTCCGAGATCGACGACGTGGACCGCTTCCCGGCGGTGATGGAACTCGACATCTTCGGCACTCCCATCCCGTCCACCAACGAGTACTATACGC